CGCGAGTGGTTTGCCACCCCTTGATAGTGGCATGGGAATGGTTTGCCACCCCCCAAAGTTGCTTGGGACTGGTTTGCCACCCCCCAGAGTGGCGGCAAGTGGTTTGCCACTCCCAAGAGTGGCATGCGAGTGGTTTGCCAACCCTCGAGAGTGGCTTGAGAGTGGTTTGCCACCCTCCGAGATTGGCGTGCAAATGTTTTGCCACCCCCCAAGAGAGGCTTGGGAGTTGTTTTCCACCCAACCGAGTTGCGTGCAACTCGTTTGCCACCCACCGAAAGTGGCATGCGAGTGGTTTGCTATCCCCCCGAGTGGCGTTCGAGTGGTTTGCCACCCTCCAGGTTTGGCGTGCGAGTGGTTTACCACCCTACAAGAGTGGCGTGCGAATAGTTTGCCACCCCCCGAGAGTGGCGTGCGAATGGTTTGCCACCCCGCAGAGTGGCTTGGGAGTGGTTTGCAACCCCCCCGAGTGGTGTGCGAGTGGTTTGCCACCCCCCCGAGGGTGGCGTGCGAGTGGTTTTGCACCCCCCTGATTGGCGTGCGAGTGGTTTGCCACCCTCCAAGATTGGCGTGCGAGCGGTTTGCCACCCTCCAAAAGTGGCGTGCGAATAGTTTGCCACCTCCCCATAGTGGCGTGCGAATGGTTTGCCACCCCTCAGAAAGGCTTGGGAGTGGATTGCCACCCCCACGAGTGGCGTGCGACTCCTTTGCCACCTACCGAGAGTGGCGTGCGAGTGCTTTGCCATCCCCCCATGTGGAATTCGAGTGGTTTGCCACCCTCTAAGATTGGCGTCCGAGTGGTTTGCCACCCTCAAAGAGTAGTGTGCGAATAGTTTGCCACCCCGCAGTGTGACGTGCGAGTGGTTTGCCATCCCGCAGTGTGACGTGCGAGTGGTTTGCCACCCTCCAAGAGTTGCGTGCGAGAGGTTTGCCACCCCCAAAAGTGGCGTGCGAGAGGTTTGCCACCCCCCAAAGTGGTGTGGGAGTGGTTTGCCACACTGCAAGACTGGCGTGCGAATGGTTTGCCACCCCTCAGAGAGGCTTGGGAGTGGTTTGCCACCCCCGCGAGTGGCGTGCGACTGGTTTGCCAACCACTGAAAGTGGCGTGTGACTGGTTTGCCACCGACTGAAAGTGGCGTGCCAGTGTTTTGCCACCCCCCCGAGTTGTGTGCGAGTAGTTTGCCACCCTCCAAGGTTGGCGTGCAAGTTGTTTCCCACCCTCCAAGAGTGGCGTGCGAGTGTTTTGCCACCCCGCAGTGTGATGTGCGAGTTGTTTGCCACCCCGCAGTGTGACGTGCAAGTGGTTTGCCACCCCTCAGAGTGGCTTGGGAGTGGTTTGGCACCCCTTGACAGTGGTGTGCGAGTGGTTTGCCAACCCCCAGAGTGGCTTGGGAGTGGTGTGCCACCCCACCGAGTGGTGTGCGAGTGGTTTGCCACCCCTCAAAAGTGGCGTGCGAGTTGTTTGCCACCTCTCAGAGTGGCGTGCGAGTCGTTTTCCACCCCTCGAAAGTGGCGTGCAAGTGGTTTGCCACCCCCCATAAGAGTAGCGCGGGATTGGTTTGCCACCCACCAAAGTGGCGTGCGAGTTGTTTGCCACCCCCACGAGTGGGGTGCAAGTGGTTTGCCAACCCCTAGAGTGGCGTGTGAGTGGTTTGCCACCCCCCGAGAGTGGCGTGCGATTGGTTTGCCACCCCCTAGAGTGGCTTGGGAGTGGTTTGCCACCTCCCCGAGTGGTGTGCGAGTGGTTTGCCACCCCTCCCGAGAGTGGCGTGCGAGTGGTTTCCCACCCCCATGATTGGCATGCGAGTGGTTTGCCAACCACCAGAGTGGCATGCGAGTGGTTTGCTCCCCCTTGAGAGTTGCGTGCGAGTGGTTTGCCACCCCCCGAGGGTGGCATGCGAGTGGTTTGCCATCCCCCCGATTGGCGTGCGAGTGGTTTGCCACGCCCTAGAGTGGCGTACAAGTGGTTTGCCACCCCCCGAGAGTGGCGCGCGAGTGGTTTGCCACCCCCTGATAGTGGTTTGCGAATGTTTTGCCACCACCCAGAGTGGCTTGGGAGTGGTTTGCCACCCCCTAGAGCGTTGTGCGAGGGGTTTGCCACTCCCCAGAATGGCATGCGAGTGTTGTGTAAACCCCCGAGAGTGGCGTGGGAGTAGTTTGCCACCCTCCGAGAGTGCCATGCGAATGGTTTGCCACCCCTCAGAGAGGCTTGGGAGTGGTTTGCCACCCCCCCCAAATGGCGTGCGACTGGTTTGCCACCCACCGAGAGTGGCGTGTGAGTGGTTTGCCATCCCCCCGAGTGGCATTTGAGTGGTTTGCCACCCTCCAAGATTGGCGTGCAAGCTGTTTGCCACCTTGCAATGTGACGTGCGAATGGTTTTTCACCCCCTGAGAGTGGTGTGCGAATGATTTGCCACCCTCCAGAATGGCTTGGGAGTGGTTTGCCACCCCTCCGAGTGGCGTGCGATTTGTTTGCCACCCCCTGAGTGGCGTGCAAGAGGTTTGCCACCCCTCAATGTGGTGTGCGAGTGGTTTGCCACCCCCCGAGAGTGGCATGCGAGTGGTTTGCCACCCCCTGAGAATAGCGTGCGAGTGGTTTGCCACCCCCTGAGAGTGGCGTGCGAGTGGTTTGCCACCCCCCAAGAATGGCGTGTACGTTATTTGCCACCCGCCGAAAGTGGCGTCTCAGTGATTTGCCACCCTCCAAGACTGGCGTGCTAGTGGTTTGCCACCCTCCGAGAGTGGCGTGAGAATAGTTTGCCACCCTGCAGTGTGACGTACGAGTGGTTTGTGACCCCGCAGTGTGATGTGCGATTGGTTTTTCACCCCCCCGACTGGTGTGCGATTTGTTTGCCACCCCCAAAGTGGCGTGCGAGTGGTTTGCCACCCCTCCGAGTGGCGTGCGAGAGGTTTGCCACCCCCTAGAGTGGCATGCGAGTGGTTTGCAACCACCCGAGAGTGGCATGCGAGTGGTTTGCCACCCCCTGAGAGTGGCATGCGAGTGGTTTGCCACCTCCCAAGAGTGGCGTGCGAGTGGTTTGCCACCCCCCAGAAGAGTGGCATGCGAGCGGTTTCCCACCCACCAAAGTGGCATGCGAGTTGTTTGCCACCCCCATTAGTGGGGTGCGAGTGGTTTGCCACCCCCCCGAGTGGTGTGCGAGTGGTTTGCCACCCCCCGAGAGTGGCGTGCGAGTGGTTTCCCATCCCCCCGATTGGCATGCGAGTGGTTTGCCACCCCCCAGAGTCGCATGCGAGTGGTTTGCCACCCCCTGAGAGTGGCGTGCCAGTGGTTTGCCACCCTCCGAAGGTGGGATGCGAGAGGTTTGCCAGCCCCCAGATTGGCGTGCGAGTGGGTTGCCACCCCCCAGAAGAGTGGCGTGCGAGTGGTTTGCTACCCACCAAAGTGGCGTGCGAGTTGTTTGCCACCGCCTGATAGTGGGATGCGAATGGTTTGCCACCCCCCATAGTGGCTTGGGAGTGGTTTGCCACCCACCAGAGTGGCGTGCGAGTGGTTTTCCACTCCCCAAAGTGGCATGCGAGTGGTTTGCCACCCACCGAGGTTGGCATGCAAGTGGTTTGCCACCCCCCCTATTGGCGTGCGAGTAGTTTGCCACCCCCCTGAGTGGCGTGCGAGTGGTTTGCCACCCTCCGAGAGTGGTGCGTGAGTGGTTTGCCACCACCTGATAGTGGCATGCAAATGGTTTGCCACCCCCAAGAGTTGCTTGGGAGTGGTTTGCCACCCCCCAAAGTGGCGTGCAAGTGGTTTGCCACCCCCCAGAGTGGCAGGGGAGTGGTTTGCCAACCCCCGAGAGTGGCGTGGGAGTGGTTTGCCACCCTCCGAGAGTGGCGTGCGAAGGGTTTGCCACCCCTCTGAGAGGCTTGCAAGTGGTTTGCCACCCCCCGAGTGGCGTGCAACTGGTTTGCCACCCCCCAGAGTGGCATGCGAGTGGTTTGCCACCCCCTGAGAGTGGCGTGCGAGTGGTTTGCCACCCTCCGAGGATGGCATGCAAGTGGTTTGCCACCCCCCTGATTGGCGTGCGAGTGGTTTGCCACCCCCCAGAGTGGAGTGCGATTGGTTTGCCACCCCCCAGAGTGTCGTGCAACTCGTTTGCCACCCACTAAGAGTGGCGTGCGAGTTGTTTGCCCTCCCCCCGAGTGGTGTTCGAGTGGTTTGCCACCCTCCAAGATTGGCGTGCGAGTGGTTTGCCACCCTCCAAGAGTGGCATGGGAATAGTTTGCCACCCCACAGTGTGACGTGCGAGTGGTTTGCCACCCCGCAGTGTGACGTGCGAGTGGTTTTTCACCCCCCGAGAGTAGCGTGCGAATGGTTTGCCACCCTCCAGAGTGGCTCAGGAGTGGTTTGCCACCCCCTCGAGTGGCGTGCGATTTGTTTTCCACCCCTGAAGTGGCATGCGAGTGGTTTGCTACCCCCCCGAGTGGCGTGTGAGAGGTTTGCCACCCCTCCAGAGTGGCGTGCGAGTAGTTTGCCACCCCCCGAGAGTGGCATGCGAGTGGTTTTCCACCCCCAAAGAGTGGCGTGCAAGTTGTTAGCCACCCCCCAGAAGAGTGGCGTGCGAGTGGTTTGCCACCCACCAAAGTGGCGTGCGAGTTGTTTGCCACCCCCACGAGTGGGGTGCGAGTGGTTTGCCACTCCTCAGAGTGGCGTGTGAGTGGTTTGCCACCCCTCAAGAGTGGCGTGCGAATGGTTTGCCAACCACGAGACTGGCTTGGGAGTGGTTTGCCACCCCCTCGAGTGGTGTGCGAGTGGTTTGTGTTGTGTGATGTCATCATATGCTATCACATTCTGTCTGCCTCCCATCCCTTGTTTCAATTCGCATGTATGGTTTGACTGTGTGTGAAAGAATTTGTGTGGTGTGTTCTGGAGTTTGGGAATGTGTTTTGTGTTATTCTGTCTGAGCAGGTATTTGTGATGATAGATCTTGAGAAGATCTTTCCGACGCAACAAGAATCGATTCAATCGGAGCAAGAACGCGAAAGCTATGAAGATTCAAAGTTCATGAGCTTGCGTTACAATTGCGGCGGTTACAAAGTGAAGTTGTGGGGTGACTTTATATGGAGTTGGGACCTTTGGGGTTGGGGAAATTTGTCACTCTACTGTAACAGCTGCAAATTGGTTGGGAACAACCAAGCTAGGTTGGCAAGGGTGGCCAACTTGGATGGATTGGTTGGGAAGGGACAAATGTCAAAATTGGGGTTCCTATAGGGAGGGAATCTTTGTGCTTATGGGGTTTCCTTGGTTGGGGACTCTCTTGGGACCTTCCCTCTCATCCCTCTCTTTCTATCCCAACCTTTCTCTTGCTCCTCTAATTTCCTTGAGAGATTCTTGAACTTTGATTGAACTCTTGAGATTGAGTTAAGTTCTCCTCCTACAGCTTACCCCCTAGTGCGTCGAAAGCCATAGCGTCGCGAATACTTCATCAATCAACATGATTCAATTTGGGAACGGTAGCTGAGCTTAAGACTACAACATATCCGAGTTTCGCGACATTCCAACGGCTAGTTTTTTGTCGACGTCGTTTCTTGTGAGGACGACTTTTCTGTCCAGAATTTCGGATTTATATTTTGAGTAATTCTAGCTCCTAAGTTCACCTAGACTTCGTCCTTAATCCTAACAAGTGGTATCAGAGCCATATTGAGGACATTGAGAGGAGTCTACAGAAGTGTGAAGACCCTTCTAGACCCACCATGGCCTGTGGGTGTGCCTAAGTGGTGTTCTAAAGGTTGGATGTGACTTCCGCTAAGGGGAAACTCTGCCGAAATTTCGTGGACGCCGACACTTGTGAAAATATCGAGGGAGCTGAGTGTGGACAGCAAAGGGGAGCTGAAATTCGTCATTTCTCAAGGAGAAGATGAATGAGAGAGGAGGAGATGCTAATGGAAGAGGAGCTGTACCTGAGAAGACAAGTGAGCCGCCACCATCAAAAGTTGAAGCTTTGGATGGCTCCAACTATGAGGAATGGAGCGGGCGATGAGGAGTGCCTTCAAACGCTACAAGCTACTGAAGATTGCTGTTGGGGAGGAGAAGATGCCGGAAGAAGGCGAAGAACGCGAACGGTGGATTGAGAAAAGCGCGGTGCTTTTCGACCTCATCCTTCAATCGGTCAACAAGGAGATGTTCGAGCACATCAAGGATCTTGTGGAAGCGGATGATTCGGGTCCAAGGGCGTGGAAACTACTACGTGATGTGATTCAGCCCAACACTCTCCGATGGTGATCGTGCTCGAGAAGGAACTTGCTGCCATCTCCATGCGACCAGGGGATGATGTGAAGCTGGTCCTTGACAAGATCAAGGACACCTATGCAAGGATGGCAGCAGCGGGCAGCAGTGTTCTCAGCTGCAGCAGTGCACCAAGATCATCTCGGTGTTGGACAACTCTGGGACAACCTCATCCCCACCCTCAACTCTCAGCAAGATCAATGGACACCTGAGTGGCTAAGGCAGCAGATTCTGCAGGAGGACTTCCGCAGACGCCATGTGGGAGGTGGTGCTTCCACTAAGACTGCTGAGGGGTATGGAGCTGCAGGGCGCGGCAGAGGAAGAGGGGGTTGGAGAGGCCGAGGCCGTGGGAGGAGCTTTGGCAGAGGTAGTGGCCGAGGTGACTATAATGAGGGGCATGGGAGCTCTAGTGGCAGGGGAGTACCAGAATGGAGGGCACCTGCTGGTACTGCAAGAAGGTCGGGCATCCTTGGTTTAAGTGCTTCAGCAGGCCGGAGGGATGGGCACCTCCAGGCATGAAGCCGCCCAGTGGTGAACGCGCACAAGGTGGCGCTGTGCAAGGCTCAGGTGCACAAGGTGAAGGTGCACAAGGTAATCCTATCCTGGATGTTTCTCATGGTTGAGGATGTGCATGGGCATGAGGGTGATGTGGGATTGTGGGAAAGGTTGTGATGCACCCTCTCACGCACTGGGTGATTGATTCGGGTTGCACCAGTCACATGACCCCACGGGCAGATTTGCTTGATGAGGTAAAACCCCCTGGGAAGATCAAGTATGTGGCAGCAGCGTCAGGTGCTTTGCTCCCGTCATTGGTGTTGGAATGCCAAGGTTAAGGGAGCTTATGGGGAGCTTGTGGGGCTTGGGAATGTTCTGCTGGTTGAAGGCTTGTCTGCTAACCTTCTCTCTGTGCGACGACTGCAGAAGAGCAAGGCCGAAGTGACCTTTGGACCAACCAGCTGCCGTGCTAAGCTTGGGAAGAAGGTGCTGTGGAGTCTGGAAGAGGAGACCAGCTGCATCAAGGACCTGTGGCAGCTGCCCATCATCCCTGGAATGGGAAGACTCCAACAGCAGCAACGGCAGCAGCGGCAAAGGCAACAGCAGGAGGAGATGCAACTGCACCAACTGATGGGGTGCTGGAAGCAGTCAAGAAAGTGCAGAAGCAGCAGACACATGGTGAGGTGCTTGCTGGTGTGGATGCGAGTGCGGCATGGGCTAAGGCTTCATCAAGGAGTGGAGAGGCCGATTGGGAGACATGGCATGAGAGGTGTGTCATGTGAACTTCCCTATGCTGCAGAAGTTGGTGAAGAATGGGAGCCTGAAGGGCTTGGAGGTGAAAGGGGAGTGAAGGAGATTGGGAGCTGCCCTACATGCTTGGAGACCAAGTTCTCCAAGTTCCCCTTCAACAGTGCAACTGGACCAGCCAAGACCCCACTTGCACTTGTGCACATGGATGTGGTGGGGCCCACAAGAGCCCCTTCCCTCTCAGGCAGCCGCTATTTCTTGACAATTGTGGATGACCACACTTGGGCAGTGTGGGTTTACCCTTTGAAGAGCAAGGGGGAGGTGGCAGCGGCTGTCCTTAAGGAGTGGATGCCGAGAGCTCAGAGGGAATGCGGACACAAGGTGAAGGTGATCCGTAGTGACAATGGTGGGGAGTTCATTGGAGCTGATTTTGAGGGGGAGTTGAAGAGGAAGGGGATCCAGCATCAACTGACAGTGCCCTACAACCCACAGCAGAATGGCGTGGCTGAGAGGTTCAACAGGACCCTGCAGGAGGGGGCACGCACTCTCCTTGGGCGTGCAGGGCTGCCTGATCCGTTTTGGGTGTCTGCACTGAGGCAGGTCGCCCTTGTGAAGAACAGGGTGCTGGCTACAGTTGGAGATAAGGAGTGGATCCCATACGTCAAGTGGTATGGGAGTGCTCCAGCTGTGAACATGCTGAGGGCATTTGGGTGCATGGTGGTGTTTCATGTGCCTAAGGAGAAAAGGGGGAAGTTGGAGGCTTCTGGAAGATGGGGTGTGCACTTGGGGATTGCAAAGGATCACAAGGGGTGGCTGCTATGGGACTTGACCACCCAGAAGTTGACAGTGTCAAGGGATGTGAAGTTTCTTGAGTCCCTGTACTACAAGGAATGGAAGCAGCAGCAACAGAAGCTTCCATCTACACCGCTCATTGTGGAGGCAGATGAGGTGCAGCAGCCTTCAAGACAGGTGGAGGTTGCAGTGTCAGAGGAGGAGATGTCTGGGGTGACTGAGGAAGGGGGAGCAGCTGAAGTAGAGCAGCAGCAGCAGCAGCAGCATGAGTCTCCACCTCGAGTTCCACACCCGCCTGAGCGTCCTAGGAGGGATGTGCGCCCTCCAGTGAGGCTGACCTATGGGGGAAGAGGCAAGCCGAATGTGGTGCAGGCTGGGAGTGTGGTTGAGCAGATTGAGGAAGATGAGATCGCTCACTGCTACTGGGCACCAATCCCTGAGCCCAAGACTCGAGAAGAGGCCTTGAATGGACCAAATGGGGAGAAGTGGAAGGCGAGTGAGGATGAGGAGTTCGGGTCCCTAATTGAGAACGAGACATGGGACCTGTGTGACTTGCCTCCTGGAAAGAAGGCAATCACTTCCAAGATGATCTACAGGCACAAGTATGGACCTGAAGGGGAGCTGACCCGCTACAAGTCTAGGCTTGTGGCACGGGGGTTTCAGCAGACAAAGGGGAAGGACTATGATGAGGTGTTTGCTCCTGTGGGGAAAGGAACAACACTGAGGGTGCTGTTGGCGATAGCTGCACTCCTGGGATGGAAGATTCGGCAGATGGACATTGTGACTGCCTTTCTGAATGGGATCATTCTGGAGGAGGTGTACATGAAGCAGCCAGAGGGGCTGGATGATGGGAGCGGCAGGGTCTGCAGGCTGAAGAAGGCCATCTATGGCCTTAAGCAGGCGCCTCGTGCATGGTATCACAAGTTGGAGGAGGCGCTGCTGGCTGGGGGTTTCAAGAAGAGTGAGTGTGACCCCAGCCTGTTCCTGCTGCAGGAGAAGGACGAAATCCTCATGCTCTTGGTGTATGTGGATGATATCCTTCTCTTTTCTGCATCAACTGCTTTGCTGGACAGCGCAGAGCAGATGCTGGAGATGCAGTTCAAGTGCTCCAAGATGGGTGAGGCGAAGTACTACTTGGGGATGCATGTGGAGAGAGATGTGGAAAAGGGTGTGCTGAGGTTGCACCAGAGGAAGTACTGTGAGGGGCTGGCTGAGAAGTATGGGCTGCAAGATGGGGGAAAGCCAGCAACACCACTACCTTCAGGGTTTACTGTGGAGCCATGTGCTGATGAGGAGGTAGTGGGTGATAGTGACAGGAAGCTGTTTCATTCGATGGTTGGGTCGCTGAATTATGCTGCAAATCATACACGGCCTGACATTGCATTTGCTACATCACGACTGGCTAGCGTGGTTCACGTCCTAGTCATGAGCAGCTGGAAGCGGCCAAGAGGTTGGTCCGCTATGTGAGTGCTACGGCATCAGTGGGATTGGAGTACAGTGGAGTGAGGCAGCGGTTGCAGAGAGGTGCTGCAGATGTGAAGAGTGGTGAGATGCTCTTGAGTTGCTATACTGACGCTAGCTTCAACTCAGTGAAAGCGGATGGCACCAGCATTGGGGGTTATGTGTGCTTGCTGGGAGGTGGTGCTGTGAGCTGGCGCAGCAAGAAGCAGAATGAGGTGGGATTGTCTTCATGTGAGACTGAGTACATGGCCTTACACCATGGGGCCAAGGAAGTGGTATGGCTGAGGCGTTTGTTGGAGGAGTTGGGAGTTGGTCAGGAGGAGCCGACAGTTGTGTTCTGTGACAATGAGTCTGCAGTGAAGCTGGCCAAGAATGCTTGTCTGCATGGGCTGACAAAACACATAAGGCCTAAGTGGCATTGGGTGAGGAGACTCCTTGATAAGGAGGTGCGGCTGGAGATAGTGAAGACCCATCAGCAGGCAGCAGATATTTTCACTAAGCGTCTGGCGGAGGCGGATCATTGGAAGGGCATGAAGCTTGCTGGGATGAGTGTGCATTGAGTATGCATGCTTGAGATGTGGTATGGTCGATGATGGTTGGCAGCCAGAGGGGGAGATTGTTGTGTGATGTCATCATATGCTATCACATTCTGTCTGCCTCCCATCCCATGTTTTTCAACTTGCATGTGTGGTTTGAATGTGCAAGCATTTGTGTGTGGTGTGTTCTGGAGTTTGGGAATGTGTTTTGTGTTATTCTGTCTGAGCAGGTATTTGTGATAATAGATCTTGAGAAGATCTTTCCGACGCAACAAGAATCGCTTCAATCGGAGCAAGAACGCGAAAGCTATGAAGATTCAAAGTTCATGAGCTTGCGTTACAATTGCGGCGGTTACTAAGTGAAGTTGTGGGGTGACTTTATATGGAGTTGGGACCTTTGGGGTTGGGGAAACTTGTCACTCTACTGTAACAGCTGCAAATTGGTTGGGAACAACCAAGCTAGGTTGGCAAGGGTGGCCAACTTGGATGGATTGGTTGGGAAGGGACAAATGTCAAAGTTGGGGTTCCTATAGGGAGGGAATCTTTGTGCTTATGGGGTTTTCCTTGGTTGGGGACTCTCTTGGGACCTTCCCTCTCATCCCTCTCTTCCTATCCCAACCTTTCTCTTGCTCCTTCTAATTCCTTGTGAGATTCTTGAACTTTGATTGAACCTTTGAGATTGAGTTAAGTTCTCCTCCTACAGCTTACCCCCTAATGCGTCGAAAGCCATAGCGTCGCGAATACTTCATCAATCAACGTGATTCAAATTGGGAACGGTAGCTGAGATTAAGAGCTACAACATATCCAAGTTTCGCGACATTCCAACGGCTAGTTTTTCGTCGACGTCGTTTCTTGTAAAGACGACTTTTCTGTCCAGAATTTCGGATTTATATTTTGAGTAATTCTAGCTCCTAAGTTCACCTAGACTCCGTCCTTAATCCTAACATCCATGATGATGATTTCCCATAGTATTGTTTCCGCTGCATTCACGCCGTTGATTCCGCACCGATCCGACGATCCACATTCTCCTGTCGGTTTTCTGCTTGCAACTATTGCCAAGTAGGTAATACTTCGGCAGTTTTCTGACTCTGCAGATGATTTTGTGCCCCAAATTCGTGACCAAATGGAGGAATCTGAATTTGGCTGTCCAGATGAGGAAACGGTGTCGAAGGCGGCTGCTTTTCTGTTCTGCGCGTCATTCTCCCTTTGTGCAGAAGTCGCGCTCCATCTCGTCCGTAGAAGTAGAAGTCGATCCGACGGTCCAAACTCCAAACGATCTGAGGACATTCCTGAGTCGCGTTCAGCAGCCTTCGTTGCCCGGGTGGACTCGTTTCCTGCACCAAGTCTCGGTCGTCGATTTCAGCTGTCGAACGATCGGACGCTCCGAAGAACTTCGCGGCTTGCGAGGTCCCGTTCCCATTCGCGCTGAAACTCGAACTCACTCAGAAGGTTTAGTTTTCACCTCGGTCGATCTGAAGCGTCGAATCCCCATCGGACGGATGCCGTCGGTCGTAGCTCCGCACATTTCCGCGCAACTCCAAGTGTCGTCGCGAACTGCGAACTCCTCGGAATGTCGCAAGGAGTGTTCCGCCAGAAGTGACGTGTTCGCGAGGTCGAGACCATTTGCCCCCGCGAAAAAATTGGCTCCGTCGATGCAGTCCATCGAACAGCTGGCGAGGCATCTCGCCTTCGGAGGGGACCCCAGGTGCAACTGCGCGAGGTTAGTCGAAACTTAAATGAAAATCCATTGTACTTACAGGAAAAGAAGTTTCGACTCCATCCTCGGCGTGCTCCTGGGGGCCCAGCGGTTAAGCGTTGAGCTGAAACCTTGGCTCTGATTACCAAGTGTCACAGGATCGAATGTGTCGAGGAAAGGTTTGCTCAATGTTGCACTATCAATCAGTACAAGGTACAAGGTGCTTTTATACTTTCATAATACATCAGGTAACCAAGTTTATCCTATCCAAAGGGAATAGACCCTTCTAGAAATAGAATCACCATGCGTATAGCCACGCGAGGCTATTGGCTTTAAGGGATTACAGCACGATTACGCTAGATATAGCGCGCCAGTACATCCCGAGCCTGGTCGGTGATATAATTATAACAACAGGATAACCCAAAGGATAATGGAAAAGGAGGAATAGGAGACCAAATGAGATGAGATAAAGACCAAATGAATCAGGATAAAAAGAGGAATGAAATAGAAAGAAAATATGGAAAGGGGAAATTGGTGTAACGGTGTCGTACTCTCACAGCGACGGCCCCGGCCCCGGCGCTGCTGCGGAGAGACTGCAACAGCGGTCTCAGCAGCAGGGGCAGCCGTAGCTACCACGGCGGACACGTCAGCGTACGTGCACTGGGAGGGAGCACATCCGTGGAAGTTAGGGACTGCCGCAACACCGCTCGACTGGGAGATAGTGCGCTGGCGAGTCTCTATCGAGTCATCATGATTTGCGTATTTAGTGGATGTGATATATTTCAACGGCATCCTCGAAGCTGAGTCATGGGATTTTTAAGCAACAGATATGTACACTATCTTGCGTACCCTGGAGCGTTGGGTTTCTAGGGGTCATCTTCGAGCAAAATTCGTCACCGTTACGCTTCTCCGCCTGATTTCGTCACTTTATTTATGGAGTTCGCTGACTTTCGTGGTACATGGACGCGTGCTCTCGCATGTGACTTGAACGACCTCGCGATTAATGAACGGGTTCTTCATTTCATCGACCAGCACGTTATTCGCCAATCATCATTTCCATATATTCATCTGCCACGCGCCATCATCAAGCAACAGCGTTACTGTTATTCGACCATCTTTGACGGCTGAAATCAAAAGCAACGTTTCTGTTTTCTGAAATCAAGCAATTTATTTCTGTTTTCTCCGGAGCCTTCTTAGTAATTCATAACTCTTCTTCAGTTCCGTTTGCCGTATGAGGTGTACTCAGCTGATTGTGCTACCTTGTTCGATCCACCTGCAATCCATTGCCACCACAGATCATTCCCATGCCCTTCCCTTCCGTCTATCTGCCATCGCAAATCCTTCCTGCTGCCGTTCCCCAACATACCCACAAACCCACCTGTCAGGAGTATAAGGCAAACTGGCCTTCGGCAAGCAGTTGGCATAAGTGGGTCAATTCCATCTACCATTGGCAACATGACGAGCTTGGTTTTCCTGTCAGTTCCACGACAATACATAAGAGGCAGATCATTCTTGGCTTGCACACTGCTGTTGATTTTGGAAAGCACATCCCTTACCAATGAGCTAAACGGGCATGTTGATTTGGTGGGTCAATGCGCCCGCTTCCCCACAGGTGAACTGTAGTTAGCCCTTCCCAACTCTAAAGCTCATAGAACAGGTGACCCTAGAGCTCCTTTTCGGGCGGATGCCTTTTAAAACTTGCTTGGTTCTTTCTGGACAAAATTGCCACTCCATAGACATAAACTTGCCATGGAGATTTACCATGGATCATGCTTGTTTAAACAATGATCCTGCTATTGCTCGTTTTCGTGGAACCTGTGAGAATCCATCACAGCATTCATTGGAGTCCTTGACACCTTGATGTTGATCCTTCTTGTACTGTACACAACCATATTTGCATTGCCATAATTCATTTAAGGATTTTCTGTTTCTTTTTTTGTATGGAAAAAAAAAATGACTTGATGCCCAAACATAGAACCTTCCCCTTGTCTTCAGCTAGCTTGTGATATTTTCCTGTTTTGTTTTGCACTATGGTTTGCATCCACATGTCCCCATGTGGCTTGCTTGCATCCACATGTCCCCATGTCACATGTGGCTTGCTTGCATCCACATGGCCCCATGTTGCATTCACATCTCCACATACTTGCTCATATGCATGGCCTCCCATGAATCTATGCCATGCCCTATCAGGGATCTAGGCACCAATGATCTGGATGGACTGATTCCCTCTACTATTGGAAGCTTAAGGAGCTTGACAGAATTGTAAGTATCAAGAAAGCACAAGTGAATGGTTATTGTGCAGCCTCAAATTTTAGTGTGGTTCCTGACGACAAATTCTTCCATTTCACCCTGTCAAATAGCAGCAACCTTGACTTGACAACATTTGACAATATTTGCAGGGAAATTTCGTACAACTCCCTGTCTGGACCCATCCCCGAATCTATAGGAAACCTTGTTGAACTAGAACATTTGTAAGAGCTTTCAGTTTCAACAAAATGCAGCCAATATGGGTGAATTGCATAGATCCACTTTGCTTGGCATGATTATTTTTTAGTCCAGTCTGTCGTCCCTATTTGCACTTGACATAAAATATTCAAAATTGCTTTATTGTCACCTTGTTATGCTCGCTCGAGATTGCCATTGGCTTCTTTCACATGGCATACCTTCATCACATGGACCCCCATCCTGTTGTCTTTTTGCAGAGACATGGCCAGCAACAGTCTGAATGGCACCATTCCGGAATCTCTTAGTGGCCTCACCAAACTCTATGCACTGTAAGATGAGTAACGATGAGTGGAGAATGTGAACCAGACCATGAAACTCTGGACTTGTTTGTTGTGATTGTGATCAATGGAAGTTGCAACCTGACCTTCAGCGCAACGGTTATGGTCATTCAAAGTTTGTTCACTTCGGATCCAGGAGCCTTGACCAGGGAGTCAGGCAAGGCAAGAACCCTACACTTGAGTTTCATGGCATAGAAAATGAATGAACGATGAAATGAAGAAATCTACATGCATGCATGAAACCCATGCTTCCTTATGACCTCAAATCGATGAGAAGGGTTTTCGTAGTCAATGAATGCTTGTGTCTACAGTGTGTCTCGTGTGTTTATGATGTCCTCAGTCATGCTTGTTACTGCGCTCGTGTTGGCCACACCAGCATGTGGTGGACACGAGCAAATGAAGGAAGTAAAAACTTGTATAAAAACTGCTGAGTAACAATGCAGGCTCTACCACCGGGGTTCGCTCGACTCGAGGTGAGGCAAGAAAACTTGCGCGAGTGTTGAGTAATTAGAGTTTACTTACAAGAGAAAGAAGCACTTGTACTCGGCCCACTTGTTCTCTTGCCGAAAAAGACAGATCTCGTATTTGCCCACCAGATCCGCGTGGGTGTGGAGGGTCCCACCGGATCCGCGTGGGTGTGGAGGGTCCCACCAGATCCATGCCACTGAGACCCAAACTGTTGAGATTGCAACTGAGAACAGCAGTGGAGATTGGAGTGCAGAAGGTTTGGCTCGCTGTAGAGCAGCGTCTCGTGCAATTCATGCTCATGCAACAGAATGCATTGTAGGATTCACTCACTCATGACCATTCCCATGCCCCATGCACTCTTTTTCTGCCGAGCAATAGCAGTGTCTACACTTTTCTTTTGTGTTATTATGCTCATAAACACACACTATTTCTTCTGCCATCCCTTCCCTATGCATTAATTCATTGTAAATGCAGCCGTCTTCATAGGAACCAACTCAGTGGAGAGCTCCCTGCTACACTCGGCAATCTGGCCCGCCTCACAGCCTTGTATGTTCATCACTTGAGGCACCTGGCAAATCCCTAGGGCCCTTGCATTTCACGTCCGAGCTAACATCCTGGCATTGTACCTCGGAGCTAACTCCATCCTTCGATGCGCCTCAAAGTCTTCTCCGTCCTGCCTGACATCCAGCCTCACCTAAGCTTCTTGAAAGCACTACTTTACAACACTACGTTTTCTCGCCTTCTTACAGCCTCAACTAAGCTTTTTTTGAAAGCACTGCTTTACAGAACACTACGTTTTCTCGCATGCTTCCAGCCTCGTGTAAGGAAATTCACACCAGGCGCACAGCTGACTGCTTGCTCTGACCAGCTGCATGGATCCGCAGAAATTCTCCCAGGACAAAGCGCTGCCTAGTCTGCATAATGGTGCAGCTTGCTTACTTGCTTGCTTGCTGCGTCCAACCCAATGCGCACCTGCAGGGACATATCTGACACGGCTCTCACATGCCCACCTGACAGCTACAGCTGCGTGATTCCACAGAACACATCAAGCGGTTTCTGCAAGACGTGCCCCACGTTCTGCACCAACTGTAACCAGGCAGCGCTTTGTGCGTTACATTCTTCTTCCTGAATGACTCCGCCTTTTGATGGTTTACTCCATCTTGTTCCCTTAGGTGCTCTCCTTCAGTGTTGATCCACCCCACGATTCTTCTACCACTCCCTTTCCATTGCACCTGCCAATGTTGAATCCCCCCTCTTCTCCCCTCCCCTTTCTTCCTTTCCCCCTCTCCCCCCCCCCAACCCCCCACAATCTCCCCACCTGTACAGACTTCTCCCCTTCTCCCCCTCCACCTTCCACCTACCCTAGCTCACCCTCCCCAAGCCCAGTACCCTCCTCTCCCTACTACTCCCCCTCTCCATCCCCACCTTCCATCTCCTCTCCTTACCCCTACTCATCGCCAGTGAACACACCCTCTCTAGATCTTCCCATCTCAACTGCCAGTCAACTCTACACCTCCCAGTCTGGAGGTGGCCTGTCCACAGCAGCTATTGCTGGCATTGCTGCTGGTGCCGTGGTGCTTTTCCTCGCGTTTTCTCTGCTGCTGGGCTTCGTTCTTTGGAAGCGGCGGCGCACTGAAGGGGCAGCAGCAAGAGGATATGCTGGCACAGATGGGGAGGGCAAGTACTTGGCAGCAGAAAGTGCGCTCCAAGGCAAGTGTCCCTCTCTCCACACATCGCCCAATGCTCTGCACTGCATACACCTTCCTCTCTTGCTGTCTGCAATCCTTTTTTTGATGTGATACAGGAAACACTCCAATCTGCACATCCATGTTCTCTCTCTCACAATCCTTTCCAGTAGCATCCCATAAGGAGGATGGTCCGGAAGCAGGAGCAGGAGTAGGATGGGCGGCAGCTGCAGCTGCTGCAGCGGCAGGAGGGAGGGACGACCCTGGTGCTGTGGTGGATGTGGAGGCAGCACGGCCAGATGTGTGTCGGGAATACTCCCTGTTAGAGATGGAGAAGGCTACAGAACAGTGGGCAGAAAAGAACAGGCTTGGCAGCGGCAGCTTTGGGGATGTGTACAAGGGCGTGTCTCCCTACGATCGCAATAAAGCCTGGGCAGTCAAACGAGCCCGGGTTCTCTCCAATGACTTTCAGATCGAGGTATCCTACGGTGAAATTGCTGCATTTCTTTCACACACTGAAAAGAATCTGCTGCCCATGCTGAATTTTCCCTTCCCTCGCATCTCCTCACCACCCGTCTTTTAACTATCGTTTCCCTCTCAGGTGAAGGAGATGGCAAGCAAGCACCACCCTCATCTCGTGCGGCTGCTGGGCTACTGCCTGGACTTCAACCCGGCAACACGGAAGATGGATCAGATCCTGGTGTACGAGCTCATGCACAACAACGACCTCGAGACCTGGGTTGGACCTGGTGTCGCCAACCCCCTTTCTCTGTGGCAGCGGCTGGACGTGCTGATTGGAGTGGCTAAGGGGCTGCAGTACCTGCATGAATTCGGCATCGTGCATCGCGACATGAAGCCCGCCAACATTCTCCTCGATGCAAAGATGCAGGCATGTTTGAAATAGTGCAGCACATGCAGGCGTGCCAGAAGATTCCTATTGTACCCTTGTCCATCCCCACACTAATGACATATGGCCATCCCACACTCGTCTCATTTTTCAAGATGGTGCTCTTGTGATTGGTGTGCAGGCCAAGATTGCTGACTTTGGGCTGGTGAAGCTGAGTGGAGGCACCTCCATGGGCACCACGGTGGCTGCCACTCGAGTGATGGGCACACCGGGCTTCGTGGATCCAGCCTACTACAAGTCAAACAAGGCCACTCCAGCCGCAGATGTCTACAGGTGAGTAGAGGGGCATGCTTTCTTTAATCCAGCAAACTGCATTTTACAATAATACCATGCAAGGGTTCTTCTTTGCTTTTTTTTACCGAGGGACTCATGCTGGTTCTTTGCAGTGATGAGAACTATGCAAGAGATGCTTTTACTGTGTTTCGCTTGTCTTTTGAATGGTGGCAGTTTGTCAATATTGGTGACTCGGACTAGCCTAGAGGGGGGTTTGAACACATGATGTGCTCACTTCGTTGCTTCATTCTGCAGTTTCGGAGTTGTGATGCTGGTGGTCATCACAGCACGCAAGGCGGTTTACGTGACAGGGGACACCCACACCAATCTCGGGAAATGGGTGAGACACAAAGAGCGATTAATGGGGTGTGAAAGGGCAACAGAAATAACAGAAGTGTTAGTAGGTGAGGGATGCTGTTGAAACACTAACGCTATGCCATGCCCTACGACCTTATCAAATTTGTTGTTTCAAACCTACTTACAAAGGATCGTCCCTGTGCCGTGTCCTTCCAACTGTGAAGGTGGCTCCACTGGTGGAATCCAATGCCGTATCGGCATTCAAGGACCCTTGTCTGGACGCACCGGAAGATCTCGTGCTGAGCTTGGCCCACCTTGCCCTCTCCTGCACTGCCATGCCCACAGCCTCCCGCCCCTCAATCAGCCAAGTGCTGGTAGATCTGGTGAAGATGAGGGAGGAGGCCTTCGGAGCGCAGGCAAACAGGGTTGCATCTCGCATTGACGAGGAAATCGACGCTTCGTTTCAGGCGGACTTTGATGCTGAGATTGCTCGAGTTCAGAGCATGGGTGTCTCGGGTAACATGTCTGGAAGCGTGTAGTGGGGGGGAAGACATAAAAAACACTCACCTGGAACACTCTGGAAGAGTGAAGTGCTGTATGGGTATCAAACATGTCTGAGTCTCGGATGTGTCTTACCCCTTAGAGAGCACCCCGTGTGGTATCTTATGCTCTTACTCTCTGATACTCATCTAGTGTGTGTCTTAGCCTCGTATGTTAAAGTTGTAGCTGACTCGCCTCTGTCTCCCTTATGCAGCTCGTCCTGCTACCGTGATCCACCGGATTTAGGCACACGGGCGCTTATAGGAAATACCTCTTGAAATGATGGATAGACACCCTTGCCCTGTTCGGCGGCACTTATTGGAACCCGCTGGTTGGTTTCCTTCAGCAGGTTCAGGAGGGCTTAAAGCCCACTCTCTCAAATTAGTCACACCGAACCTGGTGCAAATAACCTGGCTACCGAACAGGCCGTCATGAAACGATGGTTTATTGGCCAAGTAATCCTCCGAGCACATTCTGTCACCCGCGATTTGGATCCGCGCAATAAATCAGCAAATAATTTGGGTCGAGCCAGATTCTTTGCTGGTTTATTACTAGCAAGGGGTACCGACAAGATGTTAAAAAAACACCCTAAATCGGGCATGGCTGCCGTACGAATGCCCTAAAAACAGCTGCTTTGAGATTGGCTGGAAAAAAATGCCAACGGATGAATTCAAGAACCAGCCCATCGCACGAGCTTTGTGTGCCTCCGAGCTTTGACGGGCATGCTCAAAATTTGGGCGCAAATTTCCCCCCAGGCCACGTGTGAGCTCGCTGGAATACCCACAAAGTGTAAAGGTGAACCACGTGTTTAGGGTGGCCAGAATCTAGAGTTGGTGGAACCACGAGTAAAATGTTAAATTATATATATTATATATATATATAATTGTAGGCTTGGTAGTTGTGCTACTTACTGAATCCTATTGTAGAGGGGACTACCCCCCTTTTTGTATCTCCTTCTCTTCTAGTCCACCTCTCTACTCTCTCGATATTTCTCCTTCCTAAACCTCACGCCATTTCCATGGCTCCCCTAGCTACCTAGTTCCTTTAACATGGTATCAGAGCAGGTTCAACCTGCTGGACCTGCTTCTCTCGCTTCCGCCGCGCACTCCTCTCTCTCTCGCGCTGCCATGGCGGCCGTGTCGTGCTGCTGTGGCGGTGTCGTCGTGCCGCCGGCCGTGTCGTTAAATCGCGGCGGTCTCGACGCTGCTGCCGTGGCACCCTCGTCGCACTGTTGTGGCGTCGACGTCCAGCTGTGGCGGCGTGGTCATGCTGTCGCGGCGGCGTCGACGCACCAGCGCACGATCGGCAGCGGCAGTGCCGGGCCTGCCATGGCATCGCGCTGACGATCCGCCCCCCACCCCTTCCCTCTTCCCCTCCTCTGCCTTTCCCTTCCTCTCCGCCGTAGCTGCTGGCGACCTCGTACCGTCCTCCCCCTCGTCGTCTCAGGTTGAGCCACGCCGCTGTTGCCTCGGGTGCCGCAGCCTCCGTCGCCAGGTGCCTTGACGTCGCCGCCGCCGCCGTTGCGACCCGCCGTCGACGACGCCATCTCGATCGCCGAGGGGTCGACCGGCTGGTCGACGCTGCTGGTGCTGCAGGGAACAGGGGTGCAAGGATGTGGGGGTGCTGGCGGTGGGATGGGCTTGCCACTACCAAGTATAGGGGGTGTGTTAAATTATATATTATATATATAGTTGTAGGCTTGGTAGTTGTGCTATTTACTGAATCCTACTGTAGAGGGGACTACCCCCCTTCTAGTATCTCCTTCTCTTCTAGTCCAACTCTCTTCTCTCTCGATGTTTCTCCTTCCTAAACCTCACGCCATTTCCGTGGCTCCCCTAGCTACCTAGTTCCTTTAACATAAAAGTCAGCGGAAGACTTTACACCTTGTATTGGAAATGTCAGAAATGACAAGGATAACAATAATGAGTAATACATGTTAGAGTAGCAGGAAAGCTGTGACGAAGGGAAAATGTCAAGGGATACAAAAATAGGGCTGTACTCACCAAGAACTAAACTAGCTAGGCTATAAACAAATATGACCTAGCTAAGCAATATAAATATATTTGTTGACACACCCCCTAGCCTAGATAGTGGCAGTTCATTAAAAAGGCAGAGTACACCAAGGCAGCACTACTAGTCTGGTGAGGGCAACAAGGCAACTTAGGGCAGCACTACTAGTCTGACCACTGAGACAAGAGGCCACAAGGTCAGTCAACAAGTGTAGCAAGGCAAGCAGGTATAGAACAACAAGTACAAGCAGGTATAGTATGACTTAGGATAAAAGGAGTGGTGCTGCTACGGAGACGAGACCAAGCTGAGTACAGAACCGCTGATAGTCACGAGGCGCAAGTGCCTTGGCGAAGATATCAGTGGTGTTGGCCTCTGAGGCCAACTATACCACTTGAGCCTGGCCGCGCTGCTGCAACTCACACAGCAGGAAGTACCGCAGCTGGATGTGCTTCGCCCTGCCCTCAAGTCGAGCCTCCTGACACAGGAGGAGCATGGCTCTTTTGTTAGCAAACAGGACCGGGGCAGACCTAGGCTGCTCACCTGAGTCAGTGAGCAAGAAGAAAGTTGGACTAGAAGAGAAGGAGCACAAGCCCCTGTCCTGATATACTCGCCAGATACCGCAGTACCCTCTTGGCAGCTGACCAGTGGACTGGTCGGTGCCTGTCTGTCGCAACAAAGCGAGCCAAGAGACTGAGAGGGTATGCTAGATCTGGTCGAGTGCAGGTCATCAAGTACGTAAGACACCCCATGGTGTGATTGCTGCACCACATGGGACTGGGAGAGTGTGATTGTACGAACAGCACGGTCACGAGAGATCTCCAAGCCCGGATAGCGCCTCAGCTCCCCCAAGTCTGTACAGGTGTGTCTCCTAAGTAACTCGGCCTTCACTGAGGCCAGTGCCACTCTGTCAGGAGTAGCAAAGATAAGATCGTCTACGTACACTAGAATGTAGAACGGTGTCTGACCCGTGCGAACAAAGAGAGAGGGGTCAGCAGAGGACGGAAAAAATTGCAGCTCAGCAAGAATGGTGCGAAGCGTGTCGTGCCACTCACGGGGTGCCTAGCGAAGGCCGTAGATAGGACGGCGCAGGCTCCACTCGGTCCCATGTGGGAAGGACCCAGAGAAGCCTAGAGGGCACCGAAGGTAGATCTGCTCGTGTAGACTACCGCACGAACGCTCTGGAGAACTCGAGTGAGTGAAGCTCGTAGTCATGCTGCACGGCTATGTGAAGAAGGACCCGAAGAGTAGTCGTCTTTGGGATCGGGGAGAAGTTCTGGAAGAAGTCCACACCCTCACGCTGACTGAGGCCTCTAGCCACGTAATGCGCCTTGAACTTCGGCAGCTCTCCAGGTGCGCGCTTCACCCTATAGATCCACATGCCACTGACTACGTTTGCCCCAGGCAGGGGAACTGCGTCAACGTAAGTGCCTGTGGATCTGTATAATGCCATCTCAGCCTCCATGGCCTGTATCCACTGGGTTGCCCAGGGCTCCGACACCGCCTCAGCGTAGGAGCACGGAACAGGGATGTTGAGAGCGTCTTGGTCGCCCTCTGGGGATACAAGCATGGAGCAGAGATGGGGAACATCAGTACCAAGGTAAGCCAACTCGTACTGCCTGTCCTCTAGCATGTCACTGCCAAGGGCAGGTACACCCCTAATTGATGGAAGACGGACAGTACCAGAGACCAGAGTGGCAGCGTAGTCAAGGCGGTGGCTAGCGACGAAGTCAGCGATAGCAGCGACAAGCGATGCAAGCAAGCGCGAGAGGGTAGGACGAGCAGCGAGAGCAGCGTCAAAGCGAGGAGGGGGGAATGACGGAAGCGACGACGAGGGAGGCAACGAGGGAAGCGCAGGGGAAACCGAGTCGGAGAGGAGTCCGCAGGAGGGAACAACGGGTCGTAAACAGGGTCACGCACCGGAGGGGGAACGGGCGGGCGGATAGGGGAACCTGGAGCAAGACCAAGGAGACGAAGGGCAGACTGCGGCTGCTCCTGCTGCGACGGTTGCGCCTGCTGCTGTGGCTGCTGCTGCTGCTGCTCCCTGTCCTCTCTAGGACCTTCAGCGGCACCGAGGCTGCCACCGGCACTCCCCGAACCAGCACCCCCAAGACTAGCACCCTCGGACGCACCATTGATAGAACCAGCATCCAAAGAGTCAGCACCCCCAGAACTCGCACCCCTGGAACCAACACCTCCAACACCACGAGCTCCAACACCAGCACCCTAGAACCCTTTGCTTCCTGCTGCAGCTGCTGAGGCTGCTGCGGCAGCTGCTGCTGCTGCTGAGGCAAGGGGGGAGGCGGCTGAGGTGATAGGGGTACTGAGGCTGGGGGAGGCGCCACAGGGAGAGCAGGCGCGCCCCCAACAGCTGGGCCCCCAAAGTCAGCCGACTCCCCCATGGGCGCAACCGAGGGGAACTAAGTGGCGTGGGAGACACCAGACTGGGCCGGGCGGGGCGGGAGGGGAGCGGTAGGCGGGTCAGGGACAAGGAAGAGAGGAAGAGGAGGAGGCACAGGAGCGCTGCCATGCGGGAAGCGACGGTAGTAGGGGAGCGTCTCGTTGAAGGTAACGTCACGAGAGTGGTAAAAGCGGTGGTGTGACAGGTGGTAGAACAGCCAGTCAGAGGCGTTCAACGGAAAACCCAGGAAGACACAAGGAAGGGTGCGGGCTGAGAGCTTGTCCGCGGCAGTGTCGAGGACGTGAGCAAGGCTGCCCCAGGCGTGGAAAGCAGACACGTCACCAGGAGACCCGGTCCAAAGGAGGGTTGGCGAAACCTGTGGCCGCTGGGAGTGCAACCATAGGTCAAGCTGGTGAGCAGCGTAGTGCACGGCGAACGGCCACAGAAAATGGGGTGCATCGGCGTGGACCATGGAGGTGTGAGCCACCTCCATGATCAGGCAAATG